ACCTCCAGCGATGGAGCACCCACAACTCTGGGAGGCCAGCTGTTCCACTGCTTAATAGTTCTCACTATCAGGAAATTCCTCCTTATTTCCATGTTGGACCAGATTAAGCATTTGTGAACAAAGGCTTTCTGTCAGCTGGAGAATCTGGCTTTACTTGGTGCAGAATTTTGTGTCGCTTCTTGTTCCCTACTCACCTTTCATTTTTTAAACTTGGGCTGCTGTATATATGAAATACACATTTGTACAAAACCAGGGAAGAGGGTGCGAACTCCTCAAATTTGTCCTTCTCTTCTCTGGCATCATCCCCATGCTTTGGACAACAACTCTTGCCAGGGTCAGCTAGCAGGATGGGAATTGTAGAGAGAAAATCCTTTTCTAGGGATGGGGATCTGAGTGGGCTGGAAACCAAGCCTCAGTTTTTGGGCACTAAGATTGGAAGCTCTACAGTTGAGGCTGAAGGGTGTTCTTATCTGCCACCATCCAAAGAAAGAGCTGATTATTTCAAACAAATTGATTACAAAATAGGAATGCAATGTCTGAGTACTAGTTTTCTTTCTCTCCCTCCCTTTCACAAATCTACTTTTCTTTTTTTTCCCATTCTCTTTCCAGATCTGAGTGTCTTACGATGCGCATTCCAGGCTGAGCTCAGAGCGGACCTGGAGGGCTTTCCCTCCAGCGGATCTTGAGGAATTATTGGCAGCAAGGAGCAACCTTCCCCTTTGGGGGTGAAACTCTGTGCAGCTTGCCCCAGTCTGCAGTGAACGAAGATGCTGTATGCCAGTCTGTGAGAGCCACCTTCCCTCTTGGGAAGGGGACCGACGCAAAGGACCTCTGTGGCCCTCTTCTACACAAGAATCTGTTCCCTTCCTTCCGCAGCCCCCGTAGGCTCTTTTGTCTAAGGGGGAAGCCTCAGTTCCTCCAAATCTTGGACTGCCCTTCCCCCCTGCAGAATTTTGCTCTCCTCCTGTCTCATGAGGATTTGAGGGCATCCCCAAGGGGGCCCCCGGTAGACAGTGGGCCTACCATGGCAAGGCCGGTCTGTTTGCTGGTGCCTCTGGCGTTACTGGTGGGCTTGGTCCTGGGCCCTGGTGCTGGGGGAGCAGCCTTGGAGTTTGGGGGTGCACCGGGGCAGTGGGCTCGCTACGCTCGGTGGGATGCCAGTTCCTCCGGTGAGCTAAGCTTCAGCCTCAAGACCAACGTGTCCCGCGCTCTAGTCTTGTACCTGGACGACGGGGGCAACTGTGACTTCCTGGAACTGTTGATCTTGGAGGGTCGTTTCCGTTTGCGTTTCACCATCTCCTGCGCTGAGCCAGCCAGCTTGCACCTTGAGACCCCCATCAATGACGACCGTTGGCACATGGTGCTCTTGACCCGCAATTACCGGGAAACCATGCTGGTGGTGGATGGCGAGGCCCGGGTCGCCGAAGTCAAGTCAAAGCGGCGGGACATGGCAGTGGAGAGGGATCTCTTTTTCGGCGGCATCCCGCCGGACGTCCGCCTGTCGGCCCTGACACTCAGCACTGTCAAGTACGAGATGCCCTTTCGTGGGATGGTGGCAAACCTCAAAGTGGGGGACATGCCCCCAGCCTTCTTGGGTAGCCAAGGCATCCGCAGCGACATGGAATATCTGTGTGCCAAGCAGAACCCCTGTGTCAATGGTGGGATTTGCACCGTGGTCAACAGTGAGGTGCAGTGTGATTGCCGCCTGACTGGCTTCCAGGGCAAGTTTTGCAGTGAAGGTAAGAGGCCCAGCGGCGATTCCCCGCTCTCAGAGCTCCAGCAGCCCAGTGGTGAAAAGAGGCCAGTGAGAGCAGAGGCTGCCGCTTGGCGGGAGCTGCTCAAACGGGTTTGTGGGTTTGTGGTTCGGCATATCATGGGAACCCAGTGTCATCTTGCCATGCTGGGCAAAGCAGCCCTCACATCGGCTGTTCTCTGTTGGGGCATCAGCTGTGGTGTGATCAGAGCTGTTGTGTTAAGGTTACCTGGGTTGACCATGTTGTGTGAACCCAACCACTGAAAGACTGCTCTGTTTACTATTCTGGGTTTTTTATCTGTCTCAGTTGGGTTGTAAACACAGACTAGCAGCCTCCCTTTTCTCTTCTATACAACACTTGGCACATTGTAAAGGATGCCGCATAATAGAAAGAGGTTGTAATAATCACCACCCATGACTTGGGGGTCGGAAGCAGCTTGGCTCCCATTTTCTCACCTTCCCCGACTCTCATCCTTTCCTGTTCTGTAACTAGTGAAAAAACACCCACTTTCTCTGTGCTAGGAATGCTTTAAATGAAATACAGGTATGTTCCTGATGTTGCAGGGAAATGGTGATGTCATTGCTATGCTTCTGGTGGCAGCAGTGATTTTGAAAATCTTGGGTCCAGTTTTCATCCCTTGAATGGAACAGCAGATGCCAGTCCAACCTCTTGCTCTCTACTTCTTTTGAATCAGGTTTAATCTTCTGAAAAATGTGTTGCAAAACCCGTTGCTTATGCTTGCTCACTTCAAATCTGGAGAGTCTTTCTCCCACACTCACTGACTGTGAGTCAGATTACTTCTCAGGGCTATTCCTCTTCTCCTATTCCTGAAACCCTCACTTCCTGAGGTTTTTCTTGCCTCTCTTTCCATTCCTTTCCTTCCAAGGTTCTAGTCCTCACTGTTTTTCCCTTTCTTTTGTCAACCTCACACCAAGAACAATCACGCTTTGAAAGAAAACCAGTCTAATCTGGTTTCTTTTCCTTTGTGAAAGAAAGAGTTACAGGGACTTTGTTTGTAGAATATTCCTTGTCTGGAGGCCACCCCAATCTAGTTTGGGATCTAGTTGTTGTATTCATTTCCCACAATGCCCCTGACCTAGCACCATTTCAGGGGACTGTGGGAAACTACAGTGGTGCCTGGTTCAAAACACAGTGCTATGGGGGATGTTGCTAACACTGCCTGAAGCCCAAGGAAGTTCAGGGGGGGAGCGGGGGCAGACTTTCAGCCATGCCCGGAGCTGAACGCCTTTTTGCAACAGCTTCCTTTTCCCACCTGGGGCTGGACTCCTGACTTTGCATGCCCCCCGCCCTCCTGAATTCTCCCCTACTATGGGTTGCCATTCTGTGCTGCTGGAATCTCTCTCCCCATTTTCCCCACCTTTTAATTTGCTTTAAATTTGTCGAGGGGCTTATAAGCAATAAATAGCCCCCCGGCTTTTTCTTATTCTTTTTGTATCTAGTGTGTAAGGAATGATCCTAATATCGGTGCAAGTCAAGGAAGCAGAAGCCCACAGGCAAAGTTGTTCCCCAGCCATGCACAATTTACTGTTTCTGAATGCATCTGCTGCTCTGGCTGAGCTCCAGGGTGGGAAAGCTGGTGGGTGGAGTGATAGGAAGCCCCCCAGGGGGGAATTGCCCCCCTTTAGCTCCCTGCGCAGGTCTCAGGGATGTTTCTTGGAAAAAGGGGAATGAATTCCAGTGCTGATCTTTGGGTTATTGAACAGTGGAAGAAACACATTCGGGGGTCTCAGAGGTACGGTAGTGTTGTGGTTATGATGAGAATGAGGATAAGTTCAGCTAGGTGGCAGCACGGGGCCGATCCTGTCTGGGCATGGAAGCTGGTCAAAAAACGGCCCAGCAAAAGGTGGTCGCAAACTCCCTCCATAATGTTGCCTGGAAGACGTCACGGATGTACGTCCACAGCACAAGCTGGGCCTTCACTTTTATGTTTGGACTGTCATTTTCATTGATGCTGTTTTTGTTTAATTCCTGTTCGTTTCTCTTTTCCAGTTGCTGACCCCCATTTGTGTTCTCTGTAGGAGGACAGACCCACAACCTGGCCCCTCTTGCTCCTTGTGTGGGTTGGGTTCATACCACCTGCTTAGTCAGATTGGGGCAAGATCTGAGCAGCTGCCTGTGAACCGCGTGATCAGCTGAGTTAGGGTTAACCTTGGCTTGGTTTTGGGTGGTGTAATGTTATGCAGGCCCCACCCATTTCATACTTTAAGGTACAATGAAAAGAGAGAAAATGGGTCAGTTCACTACCCAGTCAAGGAGGTTGTGTGAATGCAGTCTTTGACCCCGTAACTCTGCACTTTTCACCTTGACTTTCATGGTGATGTGTCCCTTTTTCAGCCCTCACCGCACCCTGCGTCAAGGTATGTGAAATCTGTTTGAGGGCCATAAAACCAGGGAGAAAAGAGATGTTTCTGGTTACAAATGGTGGTCCTGGAGAAAACAAGGTCAGTGGACTTGCTTCAAGCCAATGCCTCAGGGTTCCCCAAACTACAGGCCTCTGGGTCTAGCCACCATTTTTAATTTCCCATAATGCCTTTGGTATATAGCGTTCCTCCAGGGCATTGTAGGAGATCACTGTGGTCAGGAAGCCTGGCTCTTCAGAACTGCTTGAGGGGATTCTTGCTGCCTGCGATATCCCTGAGGGCCACTCAGCTGACAAGAGGCCTCAGGAGCCTTGATCCCTACCAGTCCGGATCCAGTTTTTCTCATTTGCAGGAGCCACCATTATTTATTCAGAGCTCCTTTAAAAAAGCTCCTTGAAAGGTTTAAGTCATAAAAAAGCAAACCCTGAGATGGATGATTGGATTCACAGATTGCACTAAGTTTGTTTAAACACAGTTTGTGCAAAAAGCCCCAGTTGGTCAGATTTGTAGGCAGAAACCATAGTTTGTAAACCATAGTTTACAAATCCCCCTTGGGGATCCCATGGGGAGCCTGTGCGATGATTATACTAGGTTTAGATGGATGTTCTCCCACAATCTTGCTTTTATTTATTTTTTAAAGTTTTTAACGGTTGTGACATTGTTTAATTGTTGTATGCCGCCCAGAGTCATGTTCAGTGAGATGGATGGCCATATAAATTTGTTAAATAAATAAATGATGGTTATGTTCATGGAAGTAAATTAAGTAAGTAAATAATGATGGCTTAGCACAATATGTGAATCATGGTTTGGCTCATATAGCCTTCTAAATCCAGATCGCAAAAAGATAATGGCTATATTCATGCAACATGCATTGGTATAACTCCCACCCTACAGTTGTTCCGGAAGTTGTTAAAAACACGGCTCTGCTCCCAGGCCTGGGGTTAGACTGGATGCTTGAGCCCTTGTTTAGTTTTGCTGGTTTGGGGTACATTTGATGGTTGCAGTCCTCTGGATGCATTGTTTTTTATTGTTTGGTTTTCTTTTTCTCTCTGCTGTCCAAAGTCTTTTTGGGAATTGGGTGGTCTCCAAATCAAATCAAATAAAAATAAATAAAATGCAAGACCCCAACAAATAAAAGCATACTCTGGCTTAATGTGACAGCAACATACTAAGGTGACATGCTAAAGAACAACCTACCCAATTGTTTTAGCTTATTCTAATGTGTTGTGTGAACCCAGCAAAAGTATATCACACCTTGCTTCACTCCAAAAAGGTTTGTGATTGCAGCCCCAGAATCCCTAGTTTGTCCAGGTCTTACACTTTCATTCCAACTGAGGAACATGATTAGTCTTTCAACGCTGGGCAGGGGGATTGGCCTACTTAAATTAAAATGTAACTTGATTGAATTTTAAATTTAAGCTTAAATGAAAATGGTGTTAATTAAATACAGTTAAGATGAGGTAGCAGCTGCATTTTTTCCCACGTGCTATACTTGGGGAGTGCTAACCTTGGTTAGGCTTTTTAGTGCATTGTGTCAACCCAGCTCATTTGGTTAGATGATGATTCACTGGATTGTGCAACCTCAGGAGAGGAGTTAATTCAGGAACCGAGTTAACTCGGAAGCTCTTCCTGTAGACATGAAGATGAGACTTCTTGATTCCTGCTGGCTGTTCTCCATCGATCTATCAGTATAACATGCCTCGAGCCCCTCTGACCCAACTTGTCTTCTACCTTTTTGTTCTTGGAGCTGCTGGCAGCAATGTTAGAAACTCCATAGCAATGAGACACTCTCAGTTTACATAACTCCTCTGCAAGCATTCCCCTTGTCTCGCACCAGACGCTGAATTTTGCCCGCTGACGTCAAGAGCATCCTCCTGGCTTCTCATTCACACACAGATACACAACACAACACCCACAAGAAGGCGCTTTGGCTAGGCCCACTCACAGGCTACCTGTTGTGTGGGGAGAGAGAGGCTGACACACAGACTGTGGTGCCGACCGGCCAAGTCAGTTGCTGGGGAGAAGGCTTGGCGATGGTGCCGCCGTCAGCGCTCTCGTGGCAGTGGTGGATACTTCGGCCAGCTGACTCCTTGGTGGCTGGGATGATTGACAGCTGGGTGGATGTTGCCTGGGCTTGTTGCTGTGGAAACGCCAGTCTGGCTGGCTGATGGATTTAGAATAGGATACATGATTCCTGAATGACATAGCAGGCAGGGGGCATTTTGGGAGACAGACAGAAGGATTTATGGAGGAGAAGGACATCAAGCTTGTTTCTGGATGGCTGGGGACGAAGCACTGCTGGCACTGTCTGCATGAGTGGTTCATTTTTGGAATAATGGAGCACCCTGTGGTATGTGTGAGGTCTGTCTGCAAGCTTAGCTTTTGTTCCTTTAAGTGTCCCGAGACTCTGTTTCTCAGTCACTCGTGATGTAAGGGATAGGCACTCAGCACATGTTTTGAAGCCATTCAGTCTTGAAATATTCCGCTGCCCTCCCACCAACAGCCCCACACCACACTGCCCCCACTCCACATGAACCCTCTGGGGTTGAGTTCATGCAGCACCCTTAATTATGTCAGTGAGAGCCCTGGCAGCTGCACTCACAT